GTGAGAGTTTTTCGGGATGTCTGCAGCACCTCGAATCGCCCTACTTTCCACACCCACCGCGGCCACGCAGCAAAGTGCGCGGGCGTGCAGTCGGCGTAGTTAGATAGGGTTTTCTCAGAGCTTTCGAAAGGCGCCGGTTTTGAAGACTTTACGCAAGTAGTCAAGAATCGGCTTCGTCGCGCCGCCAAATACCCAGTCAGAGATCTTCTCTGACCAACCGCAACGGCAGCGGCACCAGCCTGGGAGACACAGAGACGGTGCGGACGATTCAGAAATCGCGGGAAACGAGGAGTCGGCTGATTTTTCCGACCGGCAGAACCTTCGTGCGTTAAGGGCCAGTCTTGCTCTTGCCATCTACAAGATCGACAAATACATCGCCACTCTGGAAGACTCACCTGCTTACTGGGCAGCGATGATCCTGCATCCTGGGCTCAAGAAGCGATGGATTGAGAAGCACCTCCCCAAAGAACACGCTCAGCGTATCGTTCAAGGCTTCAAGAAGTTCTTTGACGGAGATTACAACGAGCAGGGCTCTCCATTCCCCCAACAGTCTGTTCAGACTCGACCAAACTACCTCATCGACGAAGACTTCTACGATAAGCCTGAGGATCTCCTCCTAAAGGATGAGATTACTGAATACTTCTCTTTGCCGTTGTTACCTGTGGAGGACCCCCTAGAATGGTGGCGGCGGCACCAGACTTCGTTGCCAAAGCTGGCAAGAATGGCGTTCGATATCCTATCAATACCGGCCACTTCTTGTGAGGTTGAGAGAGTATTCAGCCAATCGAAGTTGACGATATCGACACAAAGGTGTCGATTGATGGACCAGACAATTGAGCAGCTCGTTTGTTTGAAGTATTGGCTGTCAAAACGGGTGTTTTGAAGCAGGGAGGTTGCTTGACTGCAAATCGCGATGGCAAGGCGCCACTTGTGTTCTAACAATTTGAATAGATTTGACTGTATTCAAATCAAACTCAAACCAAATCAAATTTCACCCCTGTCCGCTCAAATCAAATCAAATCTGAGTCTGATTTGGTTTGATTTGATTCATTCGGAACGCTGGGGAGTTCTGCCGACCATCTCACCGCTTCGTTGTCAGGAGGATATTAGCAGTTAGTGTTTACCATACAAAATACTCTTAATCACTATCATCTGCTAAAAAGGGCCCACTATTGCAATAATGGATCCACAATTGCAGAGGTCATGTTGAAATTGCATGGATTTTCGGCGGTCGTCTGTGTAATTGAAATGTACGGAGATTTCAACTGCAATTCAACTTCAACGTGTATTTTCGTGTAAATGCTCCGGACCCTGAACAACATTGTTGCATCCTGGGTGTCACGGCACGGCTGGTCGGGTGAGCTGAGGCCCCGGCGGTATGTGCCAGCTTGACAGCTTCATAGTGCAGCCAGTGGTTCGATCTGTCGGATTGAATCATTTATACCCTTTTTCCGGGAACATGTCGCAACGGTATGGCTGCACGTTGTGTGCCGTGACAGTACACCTGAACCTTGAATATAAGAAGTAGAACAACCCTGACGGCTCCCTGCGCGTACTTGATGACCACTATCTCGAGAGACGGATCGAGCTTAGAATTGGTATGTTGGTCGTTATATAACTAAGTCAACATAGATATATTATCCGGCCTCTACAACGGCAGCCAGTGCATCATTGCCGGGTTCGAGCCTTACAACCCAAAGCATCGCCGCCCCCCAGTCGCATTCATGGGTTTGAATACGGTATATCGAACCGCAATGGACCTGTCAAGCCGGCCGCGCATCGTTCTCCTCTCAGGACACGGGAATTGGCCACGAGATGGTTGCAAGTACAGTACGCATGATTCGCCAAGGAGATACTCCTGAGTCTTCCCAACTCCCACTTCCACCTAAACTCATATCCTTCTGTCAACCCCAAAGCCAATAGGTACGTTCGATTACACGCCCGAATCGTCCTGAAAGTGGGACGGGTGATGCCAGTCCCAATGGTTCATGGAATTCCCGTGCCAATCTCTCCAGCGCTTGCAAGACTCCTCGATATCCTTCTTGTCCAGCTCCATGATCTCCTTCATCTCCTCCTTGTTCTCAATGATTTGCATCGCCAGGCCATGGGAGGCATGGAACGCAATGTGGCAGTGGAAGATCCAGGCCCTGTTTTATCAGTTACTAGACTAATTCCAAACACAAACAGGGTAAGGAAAGGGAACCCACCCCGGGTTGTCAGCCTTGAAGGCAATGATGATATAACCGGTCGCCGGCAACAGCACCACGTCCCGTCTGGGCGGGTTCGTGCAGTTGAGATGTGGGTTTTTGCAGTTGAGCTTGTCGGGCGTGAACATCCAGCGCTCGCCCACGTGGTTGATGGCCGAGTCGTTGTACCAGTTCTTGTCGCTCTGCCGGAGCAGGGCAAAGTCGTGGCCGTGCAGGTGCATGGGGTGCGCGGCCGGGAAGAATATCTTGCCGCCGTTCTGCGGGACCTTGTCGGGCGCCGTGATGACCATCCAGATCCACTGCTCATCAGTGGCGTTGGGGAGCGTGACGACGTCCAGATGGGGCTGGTCGATGAGCTCCTCGAGCCTGTCGAGTGCGAGGAGGGTGGGGTCCGAAAAGTTGACTCGGAGCGGCGCGGTGTGCATGTCCCATCGGGTCTGGTGCCCCGTCTTGTGTTAGTTGGGGAGATACGAGGAGGTCAGGAGTAACGTTGGGTTTCTCTCACATATGCGCCGTCGTCCGGGATATAGGGACCATTATAGGGGAAGCTTGAATTTGGACCGCCCGACTTCACCATGCCTACATCGAACACGAACTTGGTGTTGTTGGGTAGCTTGTTGTTATCGATGTCGGTCCAGGTTAACTTCCGGTCTGGCCAAGAACATAATTCCCAGTCAGCACAGCACATACGGAAACCTGAGTATCTACCTCGGTTAACTGAGGCAAGGGACACGCACCGATATTGACCGGGTCTCCCACCGTCCACGGGATCCACGGAACCAGCTTGGCGCTCGGCTCGTCCGCGCAACCAATATCGTACAGGGGCGGCTCCGAGAGAGGATCCGGCAAGCGGCCGGGGCCAGTCCAGTTCTGGTAAGCATAGTTGTACCGCACAATGCCCATCTGCTGGTCAGGCCCAAAGGCAAACTTGGAGCACTTGCGTGCCGGCACAACTCTCATCCAGTAGTTCCCATAGCGTTCTTTCTTGTACGGATCCTTCAAGCCGTGGACGAGAACGTGGTATCGCTGGCCTGCGGCGAATTTTATGTTATGTTAGGACAGAGCTCTGTCGGGGCGATGAATAGACATGAACAAAAGGGCTCACCAATGCCAATCTTGATATGGTCCGTCCTGTACGGCTTGATGGGCACAAAGTCCATCTCAATCACCTCGAGCTCATGGTCATCGATCGAAAACACAAACGTCGTATCGACGGCCGTGTTGACGAGGATGAGCATATGCGCCTTGCTCGCATTCAGGTAGAGCGTGTACTTGTCCGGCGATGGCCCGAATCCAAACTGCCCCGTGCCGTTGATCAGGATGTTGGTCATTTCGGGCGCCGCGCCGGACTGGAGCATGAGCGGCCAGTCCTCAAACACGCTGCGGTGGTTCCAGTCTGAGAGCAGAAGCGGGCGGAAGGCCAGGTCGTCGTCAAAGTTGGCCGTCGACGGTCCGTAGATAGTCATGGGTCCGAGCAGGCCGTCGCCGTACTGCAGCGAGTAGTGGCTGTGATACCACGCGGAGCCGTACTGCAGGGCGCGGAACCGGTACGTGAACTAGCAGCAATATCAGTTATGAGCTTCCCATTTGGATATTCGGGTTGGTTTCTTGATCACATGTGGAGTCTCAGGAGCCCATAAAGGGGAATAAACAGTCCACAAACAAAGAGAGTGTTACTTACGGTGTCACCTGGAGCAATGGGGCACTCCGTAATACCATTGACTCCGTCATGCTGGAACGAGTGGAATTGGCGGATACCATGCCAGTGGACCTGTGTCAAAAGGTTAGCATCTTACCGCTGTCATGTTGGCTTCATGTTGGCAGACGCATACCGAGGTGCCGTTCCACCGCAGGTTGTTCTTGACGGTAATTTCTGCTGCTGTCAGCCGACTGTACACGGACTGGATGTCGTGGTGTGCGCGTGGTATTACCAATCCAGTCACCCCAGCATGCCTCTGCCGCAGGTTAGCATGGCCTAATCATGATTCTAGTCGCTGAGAGTTGTGCGTCTAGAATATCACTGGTACTTACCGATCCAAGGTCCCGGATACATCCTGTTGAAAATCTTGCCATGCTCCATGGTCGTTCCATCAGGAGAAATGGGCTGCTCAGACACTTCGAGGTAGAACTTGATTCAAACCACTCTGTCAGCCAGATCGGGAGCCTAATAATGGACCGTGACAGCACTGGCACGACATGGGCAAAACAAAAAAAAGAGAGATAGAGAGAAACGTCTTACCCGTCTGATTTTGCCAACCGGGACGGCAGCAGCGTCCTCATAATCCGTATTGATGTCGATGATCTCATTGGTTCTGTTCTTTCTCAACCAGCAGCTCCTATTCTGTGCCGAGTAACACGGCTCCCAGCCTTTCATGGTCGGATAATGGCATTTCAGCCTACAGTCAGGACGACCCTCTTGTGGATTCCTGGGCGTGATGATGACAGGACTTCCTTTGAATACATACGAAGCCTCCTCTTTGCAAGCGCGGAGAGGCACGTCCTTGAACTCGTTTGGGTCGTAGACCATGCCGCTGGAGTACTCCTGGACCAGGCGCGTGTCACCGTGGAAGAACTCGCCCGATTCGGTTTGGACGACGGGGATTTTAGGGCCGGGCTCGAAGTGGAGGGCGATGTCATCGTCAACGACGAGAGGGGTTTGTACTGGAGTGCCGCTAATCTCTTCAGGAGAGGAGAAGGTCAGGACGTTGAAGACCTGCACGATGCTGGTCCACACTGAAGCCAGTTTCATGGTGGACACAATTTGTTGGGCTGCTAATATGCTAAGTTCAATGAGAGATGCTGACTCAGACCTCATTCAATGAAACAGGTTGAGTTGAAATAGGATTGTGCTCGGAGTCTGCCAGCCTGCTCGAATATCCCAAGCTACAGTTATAGTCAATTTCAGCCATTGGCGCCCAGGCTTCAACTTCCGTGGTTGCGACGATCCGATTCACGGCCAGCCAGGCTTGCTGGTGGCATCAACTGATCTTCGGCCATTGCAGGACTCGTGCTTCCTCGCGCGGGCAGAGTAAACCTGCCCTGCTGCTTGTAGTATCGTCTCTGCATACAACTGCAAGACTGAATCACACCCGTGAGCTGGTATGCGTGATGTAATGTGCGGTGATTGTTTCTCCCCAGTGCAGCCAGCGGCAGGATGTGGCTTGCTGAGTTCAATGAGATCGGCACAAGCTGTCGGCGGGATGTCGGCTGGATGTCGGCAACCGCAGTCCATCCCTCGTCGATAAACTTAAGGCAGCTGGAAGAACTTCGAGGGCTGGCCCAGATACAAAATCGCTACATTCGAGTACGTCGCCTGTTCCCGGCCCTGTTGTACAAGTACATGTACCAGGAATTTAGCACCGAGCTGGTCTTCAGGGACTCGCTGAGAGGAATGTCTTTCCATAGGAATCTAAACTATGTCCTTTCGTCTATGCAAGCCATTCTGCGACATAGACGCAGCCATATGGGGAAATCCTGTATGATCAAGCAGGGTGTGTAGCACGAACAAGTAGATGGCGTCTTTCTCAGCCCCTCAAGCCGCGATTCCCGTGCATTCAGTGATCTCAACGGCATCCTGATCTCCGCTGGGCTCGTAGTTCTGGACGAATCGGCTGACGTACTGCAGATTTGGGTTGCCCACCTCCTCTCCACCCGCGGCCATTTGCTGCTTCTCGCCGACGCTGGCCCGCACGTATGCCGCGTATTTTGGGTTGCCCGGGAGGATCATGTTGTCTGCAACCAGAACCGTGCCCTTTCCAACCAAGCCCAGGCGCTCGCAGAGCTTGAGATCGTGGGTGTAAGAGGGCTTGTGGTGATCAAAGAACACCATATCGACCTGGGTACCCAACGACCCTTCCGCGTGCAGGCGCCGGATCCCTTCGGCGCCCGTGCCGACCACAACTCGGACCGTGTCCCGGAGCCCAGCAAGATCGATCAGGCTGGCCGCCACAGCGGCAAAGAGCGGGTTCTTCTCAACGCTCAAAAAACGCTTCCCCCCAACCTGCCTGAGGGCATTCCTAAACAGGATTGCCGAGTAGCCGATGTAGCCACCCAGCTCAAGCATAACGGAGGGCTTGTGTTTGGCAATGAGATCGGTGACGATGGCGCCCTTTAGCTCGCCGATGTTGACCAGACCGGTGTGAGATCGGGCGAAGGCGTCGATCGCCTCGCAGACCTTCGCAGAGTTGCCCCGCATGTGGTCAAGTTCTGGATGGCTGTAGACGTAGTCGAGCAGGGCGATCTCACGCCCATCGCCGAACTGCGTGCATGTCGGGAGTTAGTGTCTCGGCGCTGGCAGCAGCTTATCGGGGAACCGAGTAACATCAGGGACGGGGCCACACATAAACTTCCCATCAACCTCCCAAGACCTGTACGCCTTGAAAGGAAGAGGAGTAGCCGCCATGATTGGGGTATCTCTTTTTGGTTGGACGCTGGACAGCTTGGAAACCTGCGGGGCCGGGAAAACTGCGGGATGGTGGAATGTGTGGGTGGTAGCTGACCTGCCTCAATTGGGGCTGCAGTGAGCTCAACGAGAAGGCATGTTTTGTAGTTGGCCGGATCGGGCCTCTGAGCAAGCCGCAGAATGGACGGCGACCTCTGGTTCCGGCCGCGCCCGCTGCAAGCTGCAGCCTGCAGTGAAGTGTGAAGACGGAAATCCGCCAAGCCAGCGCCGAGTCCAGAGTTGTCACTCTGCAGCCCGCGTCAACTTTCAGGCCAATCAATCAGCTGCATGGGATTGCCATCAAGAGATCGTCGGCATGCAGTAGACTTGCAACACAGTATTGAGACAAGCAGCCAGCCATGAATAGCCGCGCCTGTCGAGCGGCCGCGATTCGGTTCCAGGTTGGCTGTCAGGTGGTGGGGGCCCCGGGCAGGTGGGGGGTGTGTGTCTGCCGGGAAGACGACGAGCTCATTCACCTATTCCAGGATAAAAAATGCTAACGTGGTTTATCACCGAAAGCTCCATATCACCGAAAGCTCCACGAAATCGCACCAACACAACGAAAACCGAAAGATTTCCACCAAGATGACTCAAAACAATCTAAAACATGCAGAATCGTCTTCTTAATACACTTATGGTACTATTTGACAGGTACGCGCATTATGACCAGGCTTGCCGCATCTGCCACAACGCCGCGTGCGCGTCTCGCTCCCCGGCTTCCGACCACTACCCGCCTGCGTTTCCTCCCGTATCTGCACCTCAACATCTCTTTGGGCTTGCAAATCCTGTCCATCCTGCACAGTAAGCGATCCTCCTTGCCGTAGTCGCTTTTTTTTTGCCCTCCGGCGTTTGCTTAGCGCCTCATTTGCTGCTCGAAGGCTCTGGTTCTCCGC